TTTTGTGCTTCTAGTTATATTTACTCCCAAATATTTAATCTTGTGATTAGCTATTGTGAAGGGCATTGCTTTTCTTAGCTCCAGCTCTGTATTTCTTTTAAGATTTCACCTAAACTCTTTGGCCTTGGACTTAGGGTGACTTGAACGGCAGCTTTTAGTATTTAGGTGCTCTGAGGTTTGGATGAGTTGTAACCATCTCAGCCAAGGAAGTGTGGTGGTGGTGTCTGGTCTCTGGGGCCTTCCTTGCTCATTCACCCGTATATGGGAGTTTGCTGTGGGAATGCTCTGGGAGCAGTCAGTTCCAAGAGAGGTCAGTGAGAAGAGGGGATTTTTTGGAGCGTACTTGCTGGATCTCCTGGGTTATGTGAAGATATTGATATCTTAGAAACTCTTGAAACCAATGGCACATACATATGCATTTGTTCATTCACCTGTCAATTCATTCAACTAATTGTTCATATCAGGCTTGGAGGTGGACACTGGAGACTCAGCTATGCTGCACATGGTTCCTGTCCTCAAAAAACTCTTAGTTTAGTGGGAGTAGACAGAAGAAAGTTAGAGTGGACCAGGAGGACATATACAGGATTGGGCTTCCAGGTTGTGCAAGGCAGGAGCAGTTAGTTGTGCTTGAGGGATCAGGATTGACTTCCAAGTGAAGGGAGTCAAAGGATGTCCAAGTGGATGATATTGGTGGGGAGGAACAAGGCACTTCAAGTAGAGGAGGTCAGGGGCAAGATAACTTGCCTATGTGGATTGCTGTGGTACTGGATCATAGAGCCTGGCAGGCTAAGGCTTAGGTTGGACTTTATTTTGAAGATGATGGGGACCAATGAAGATTGGCTAACGGGAGTTATCTAACTGAATTTACATTTTTAGAAGGATCTCTTGATATCACAAGGCTAGAAAGGGAGACAAGCTGGAAAGTCTAGAAGAGAAATAGGAAGGAAGATAGGAAGATTCCTATCTTCTATAAAGGAAGATATAGGAAGAAGAGAAATAGGAAGGGTTTCGGTTGTTGGAAGGGCTCTCTCAGAGGCTCCTAAGGTACTCAGGCTCTGTGGCTCCGGAGTGAGGACTGGGCATCTTGCCGGAGAAGGTAGCCTGGTCATGGGGTCATGACTCAGTGGGCTCTGTGTTCCAGGTAGACACACATATCCATGCAGCCGCCTGTATGAACCAGAAGCACCTGCTACGCTTTATCAAACACACCTACCAGACGGAGCCTGACAGGATCGTGGCAGAGAAGCGAGGCAGGAAGATTACCCTGCGGCAGGTGTTTGACAGCCTGCACATGGACCCCTACGACCTCACTGTGGATTCACTGGACGTCCATGCGGTATGTGTGCCCCTGCCCAGGATCTCAAGCAAAAGCAGCCCTTCTTGGCGTCTGTCTTCACGAACACAGCACAGTTGTGCTTGGAGTGAGCCTGACTTTCTCACTCCAGAGAAAGATTAAGTTGCTTTTCCCCTTCTATCCATGGAGACTAGAGAGATGATGTAGCCTGAGATAATAGTGTCTGGGGAGAAGAGCTGTGGGGTAGAGAAAAGAGAAGTTGACTTGGAGTCAGACAGATCCAAGGCCTCATCCTACTTCAGCCCTTATGCAACTTACCCAAGCCCTTATTTCTTGACCTATAAAATGATGAGATGGGCATGTTGTCGGGGTGGGGGGGCAGTCCTTGGAAAAGCACATCATGGTGGAGAAGGTGGGGGACGGAATGGCAAAAGAGAGGAATAACCTCAATGAGATGGTGACAGTGACTATAACAGTGACCTTGAGTATGATGGAGAGTGTAAGGATGGGGCAGGACAGGGCATGCTTCAGATCAGGGTCTTTAAAAGGAGCAGATACCCTGTAAGGGTGGCCGAGTCTGACTTCTACCTGCTTCATAAAGGGGAACTGTCCCCATCAATAACATCCATATTACCTTATAAATAGCTATATGGTCAGACATTGCACCCCACATGCACCTATTTCTATAAATCATTGGGTTCAATGTTCATTGTAACTTGACTCACAGACTTCATTCACAGTTGTGTTTATTAGGGAAATAGATTGGGGAATAGGGAGGCAAGGAATATCACACAGTGCAAGTCCAGGTTTAGTTCAGCAGTCCCATACCAGATTAACAAGGCACAGTTCCTCAGTTAGTGAAAGTCCAAGTTCAGTTCAGCAGCACAAATGCACTTCTGGTTTCCTCTATCATCCAGCAAACTTTGTCTCAGAGCAGTTACAAATCAGCTTTTCCTTCAGTCATTCAGCAAGCAAAACCTTTTACTGTGGCTTCATCTCCAGGATTCCACTGGTTGCACCTGCAACAGTCTCTTCACAGCCGAGCTAAAGTCTCTTCATCCTCTCTCCTCCACCATTTTTCAGTGTGGAAAGCACTGTCTATTATTGATCTTCAAGACCTTGTGTCCACAATTAAGGTAGCCAGAGATCATGCCATCAGTGTGGGCTAATGCAGTGGATAGAAAAACCAGTTTTCAGTGCCACCAGTGTTGGTATGAGTCATAGTTGACTTAACAGTAACAACACAAATAAAATGATGACGAGTCTGGGTGGTATTAGAAGTTTAAACGTTGGGCTTCTAACAAAATGTTTGGAGGTTTGAGCCCACACACAAGGACTTTGGAAGAAAAGACTAGTGCTCTTCTTCCAAAATAATCAGCGTTAGAAACCCTATAAAACACAGTTCTGTCCCAGCACACACAGAGTATCCAAGGGTTGGAGTCAACTTGAGGGCAACTGTTATTTTTTCGTAAAATGATAAATTCCATATAAAGCTATTAAAATGCCAAAAGTGGGCTTTGCTTGAGGGAAATGCTTCACAAAGTCTAATGAGTCATTGTTATTGTTATGTATTATGGAGTCAAAATAGACCTATAGGTGACCCTCCAGTGGGTTTTCAGAAGCCGTATATTACACAGGAGGAGATTGCCCATCTTCCACAGAGTGGCTGTGGATTCAAACTGCATACCTTAGCATTGCGAGCACAATTCCTTACCACTAAGCCACTAGCTCTCTATAGCAGTAATAGTAAATGCTTTCTTGTGGATTGCCAAATGATTTAGTATGGTCTGCTCACTAAGCCAGCTCTGGTCCCAATAGTGTCTTGGAGAGTGAGGCCCCTTAAGCAACTTTCACAGAGACCTCACAAAAGGGCTCCATGGCTGACCAAGTGAGAATGTGTGGTCCAAGCCCTTAGGAATTCCCCAGACTTTCTGCAAGGAATAGCATAGGAAATAATTTCATCGTGGCCCACACGTGTCTGGAAAAGCCTGGAGAGGAGGAAGTGGGTGGTGAGCACAGAGCAATGTGCTGATCTGGCTAGTGGTCTCCTCTCTCCAGGGTCGGCAAACATTTCATCGTTTTGACAAGTTCAACTCCAAGTACAACCCTGTAGGGGCCAGTGAACTCCGTGACCTGTATCTGAAAACAGAAAACTACCTGGAAGGAGAGTACTTTGCTCGAATGGTCAAGGTAAGTGTGCCTCCTTCCTCCCTGAGCCCTCCTCAGAGAGTGCGGCCCTGTGTGGCTTCATGCCTCCTCCCTGGAGCTATGCTCCTCCCACCATCTTGCTCAGGCAACGCTGAGGTGCTCAGGGGTCCAGGCCACTGGCTGTGACTGTCCTGCTCTGCTGGGTGCTGTGTATGATGGTTGTAGGGAAGAGGAGGGGAGGATATCCACACCCAGAAGAACTCACAGCATTCAAACTTGCAGTTTTCTGTTTGCAGCCTGACTTGGATGGATGCAGGATAGGTCACCGTGGAGGGGTTTCTGATGCCTGGCTGCACCATACGGCTGGCAATAGATCCAAGGTCTTCCTCTTCAGGAAGGTGCCTCTCTGGAGGCTGGGCAGACACTCCTAGGGTAGCACTGAGAGTTAGATGAGCAGGTGGCAGAGGGAGCTGCAGGATGCCCCAGCTGGTGGCAGAGAGCCGGCAGTGGTTCTCCCATATGGCTGGGATGCTCTTGCGCTGACCCAAGCTTTTCATGGTGCCAGGAAGTGGCCCGGGAGCTGGAGGAGAGCAAGTACCAGTACTCGGAGCCTCGTCTCTCCATCTATGGCCGCAGTCCTGAAGAATGGCTCAGCCTGGCCCGCTGGTTCATTCAGCACAAGGTCTACTCTCCCAATATGCGCTGGATCATCCAGGTGCCCAGGATCTAGTAAGCAAGGGGCTCTGCTGACTGCCTTATGCCCTCTGGGGTACCAGCCTGTCCACATGGGCGACTGAATTGGCACTGGTGTGGACCGTGCCAGATTAGGCCTTCTCCCCAGGCATTTTCCCACACCGAGAAGGGTATTACAGAGGTGGCCTTGAAATCCTGGCGGTAATGAATGCTTACATTCATGTAATTTCTCAGGGGAGGGTGGGGGCTGGTGAGGATGGATCGTTCTCTTGAGTGAGTCTGGGGTATAAGGTAAGTTGGTTGGTGGTCAAGGTTGGTGGCCTTCTTCCTGGATATCACTCTGACCACCATTGTTTTCCCACCACTGTGGGGCTTCTTGCCCCATGACAGGCTGGGACATGTCGATTAGGAGAACTGAGCTGGGAGGCAGAGTTTGGGTCACTATGAAATTTGATGATTTCTCTCTTGGAACCCTGATCAGCCTGAATCCCACTCCAATGGAGTGAGTGGGTGTTGAATTTGCAAACACAATGCTAAAATTCTTGGGAACCGGAAGGAGAGAAGGTGTGTGCTCCGGCTGTAGTGTGGGCATGTAACTAGGGACTTAGGGTGTCTGAGGAAATGACTAGGGCCAATTCCAGACGGCCAAGGGGACTGTTGAACCTAATAAGCGAGTGTTCGCTATCCTCCAGTGATATATTTAGGTCAAAGAAGCTGCTGCCAAACTTTGGGAAGATGCTGGAGAACATCTTTCTGCCCCTTTTTGAGGCCACAATCAACCCTCAAGACCACAGAGAGCTTCACCTCTTCCTCAAATATGTAAGCGTGCTGGTGTCCCAGGAAGTCATGTTGGGATGGAGGAAGGGGAGGAGTCCCAGTCTTTGGGCCACTTTCTCCTTGCCCCACCCTAGCTCTGTCATCTGCGTGCCTGAGACCAGGTTGTAGGCCTAGGAAACTGAATTCCCAAAATAATGGAGCCTTGCCTGGGAAAGATGTCCCTTCCCCCTCACTGGCAGCCCTGGGGGAAGAGTGTTGGAGCAAGGAGGAGTCCTGCTGGGAGGAGCGGCTGTGGGGGAGGCTGAGCAGTCAGTTCTCAGTAAGGTGGGGCTTGGGAGGCTGGATTCTTCCCTAGGCAGCACCCAGGAAGCAGCCCTTGAGGTCTGCTTTACAAGTGCAGATGTTTCAAAAGGTCCTTATACTTTGCTTAACCATGAAATAGAGGTGATCCCTGTCTCACAGGGATGCTCTGAGTCTATGATAGTTCACGTGTATAAAGTGCTTGAAGCCAGGCCTGGCTTGCAGTAGATACCTGGGAAATACCTGTCTCCTTGCCCTAGAAGTTCTTTGTTCCTGCTGTTTATGGTAGGGGGGGGGGTTGGGTGTAGGGGGGTGGCCCTGGCTTTCTCCTCCCATTGCAGAGGGAAGGGTGGTGTGTATATGGCTGCTTTGCTAGTCATCTGGCCTCTCACCACTACCATAAAGATGTGTGGATGTGCAGGGTACCCCTAGAAGCCCTGGAGGGACATAGAGTGATGTACTTATTCCTCTTTCTGCTCCCCTCCACCCTGAGAGGAATGTGGCTTCAGTCAGGCCAAAGGGTCCTTAGCTGAGGTGTAAATTCACAGACATTTGGCAGCTTACCCTTAACTCGAAGCCCTAGATGCCTGTCCTGCCTGACGCTCAGGACCCTTCCTCCTGCCCAGGTGACAGGGTTCGACAGCGTGGATGATGAGTCCAAGCACAGTGACCACATGTTCTCAGACAAGAGCCCCAGCCCAGACGTCTGGACCAGTGAGCAGAACCCGCCCTACAGCTACTACCTGTACTACATGTACGCCAACATCATGGTGCTCAACAACCTCCGCAGGTGGGTGAGTGTGCGCGTGTCCGTGGTCCACACACCTCAAACCACAGGGGTGTTCTCCAAGGTCCTACAAGAGCTTAGAGTAGTAGTATTAAATAGAAATGTATATATGTCCACTATGACACACAAACTAATGCATACATGTACCCCATGTACAATGTGGATTCAAACAACACATGCACATGAACACGTTTATACATATATACAATACACTCACCATGTACATGTGCATATGTATCCAAATTCTGTACATCCATACATAGAATATGCCACACATACATATTCATTGTACCCCCCCACACCAACAGTGTTCACATGAGTGTCGCTCAGTGACTATCATTACATCTCCTATCGCACTCTTCTGAGCAATGACGACATAACAGGGAACAAAACAGACTGACCATGCCATCAGTGGAGCTTATACTGGAGGGGTATTACATAGACTGCTTCCCACCATGATTCACATGAGCAGTTGAATGCCCCATGCAGCAGGGCACCCAGTCACTCTTCTGCACTCCTGCCAGCCTGTCCCTCCTGCTCCTGACTGGGTCTTGAGAACCTTAACCAGCTCAACCTAAGACTATGTTAGTTTAGGACTGTGGAAGCTCTGAATGTGGTTATTATTGAAAAAGATGGCTTGATACTAGGAGGGGGCTCTTTTGGAAATGAGGGTTCTGTTTCTGGCTCTGCCAATGACCAGTCCAGTGACCCAGAACAAATGACTTGACTCTTTGGACCTCAGCTTACCAACTTTTATTATAAAGAAGTTGGTTGATGGCTTCTCATGACCTTTCCTAGTCTGAAATTCTATAGACCTCGCCATGAGGTCTAGTAAGGGCGTTTAAGGAAGGCCCAGAGTCTTTTTCTACCCTTAGACTTCGTGTCACCCAGAGATGATGTCCCAGTCTGAGGTGCTCTGGGCCTGGACCTCTGGAATTTGGGGAGAGTTTCTGGGCTGCACTGAGTCAGCTGTCCTGATCTTGCCATGCTTGACTGCTTCTCTCCAGCTGGGGGACGTGGGCTGTGGGATCCCAAAGGAGGTAGGCCCATGGCTGCTCTTCTCCTACAGGGAACGAGGCCTGAGCACGTTCCTGTTCCGGCCTCACTGTGGAGAGGCTGGCTCCATCACCCACCTGGTGTCTGCTTTCCTTACCGCTGACAACATTTCCCATGGGCTGCTCCTCAAGAAGGTAATAACTGGACCCCTTGCAGGGACCTGCCCTACAGGGTCTCACCTTCTCTAGGCACCCCTGGGAGAATTGAGACTACCTGGGTTCCTGCCACCTTTTGAAAGCTCCACCAGTGATGTTAGAAGGTGGGAACATTGTTGGGCTGAATGATGTAGTCCCTGTGGTTTCATCTCGAATTATGAAACAAATATAATAAAATACAATTTTAGAAAATGGAGAAAGTGGAAGACCTTATCATTAGGGAGTGCTGATGGCACCACCCTAACCCTAACCCTGACCCAAAGGTGGCCTCTCCGGTAGTTCAAATCCACAAGTGGCTCATAGGGAGAAAGTTGGGCAATTTCCTCTTGTGTGATTTACAGCTCTGAAAACCCACTGGAGAGGGAGAGTCAGATCTCTGATCGGTTCCCACTCAATGACAATGAGTTTGAATTCCTGAGAATTTTATTGGTACTTAGTGTTTTAATTTCCATTTCCCCCAGTGTATTTTTAATATACTTACAAAGGAGGTGTGGTGGTGTACTCTTTTAACTACCAGGCTACTGACTGAAAAATAAAAAGTTGGCTGTTTTTCTCCACCAGCCACTCCAAGTATAAAAGAAGGGAACAACTTTCCATAAAGATTTAGACTTGGAAACCTGGTGGTGGGTTGCTGTTAGTTGAAATTGACTAGGTTCAATAGGCTTGGTTGGGATTGGATTTTTGTAATGAACATAGAATGTCTTGTTCCTTAACATTGCATTACAAGTGTTTTCCTGTGCTGCAGTATTTCTCTCCTTCATTCCAAGGGCTGCTGGATGAATGGTCCATCCCTTTGGATGGTCTTTTATTGACTTGCTCACTGTTGTCAAGTTGATTCCAACTCAAAGCAACCCTACAGGATAGACTAGAACTGCCCCGGAGGGTTTACAGGGCTGTCCACCTTCACCAGGCAGCCTGGCACAGGCAGTAGCTGAGCACTTTGACTGCTGTGTCACCAGCACTCTTCTACTCTTCTGAACCAGTCTCAGTTGTATATTCTCCATATTCTGGGCTTAAAATGCTTCCCTGCCCTTGGGCCACGAGAGATCTAACCACAGGTCACATTTTTGTGAGAGGGCAAGAGAAAAATCACTTATCCTCATTAGGTCGCCCCTTCCCATCTCTTCAGGGCCCATGTCCCAGGAGATGGAGTGTTTACATTCTTACCTTGAAAGTTTGAGGTGAAAAGTAACACAACAACAAAAAATGGGTCTATCCTATATGCACTGGTGCCTGGGCGAGGGGAGCTGAAGATGTGGGTGGGCTCAGCCTGGAGCAGTACCCAGCTAGGGCCTATGAGTGTCCATCTAGAACCAAGAGTGAGCAAGTCAAACAGTGGACAGGATGCCGCGAGCCCCTAGGGAAGCATGGGGGGAACAGAGGTGGACGAGGAGGAGACAGAGGTGTGACCTGGTGTTGCGCGCCTCACCGGTCCCTCCGGAATAAGGACACAATACACCAGCGGTTCCTTCTCACAGCTGTTTACTCAGGAGTTAGTTACAGAGGGTGGTGGAAGATAAGAGTCTCTCCGACCCTTCCTGGGTGCGGCTTTTATCCCCTTCTCGGTACTCCGCCCATCACTCTCATGTGTCATGCCTCCATTGGACCATTAACCCCACGTGAGATCAAGCCATCAACCAATGAGAACACAGTGCCCAAATAAGGTCTTATTTGTGATTCTGGCAAACAAAGAGAAGCAGGAAATCAGCGCCATCTTGTAATGGCGACCATGCGGCTGTTCATGGCCCCCCACAACCTGGCTTTGAGGAACTCAAGCTTGGATGAGGGTTTGCACAAACCCTGCCCCGGTTTTCACTGATGAATACTAGTCCCTTTCCCCACCCTTCCCCTCCCTCTCTCCTTCTCTGGCACATGCCACATGAATTTGGTGGCTCTTTTGCAGAGTCCAGTCTTGCAGTATCTGTACTACCTTGCTCAGATCCCCATTGCGATGTCTCCACTTAGCAACAACAGTCTGTTCCTTGAATATTCCAAAAACCCTCTGAGGGAATTCCTGCACAAGGGACTGCATGTTTCTCTCTCCACTGACGACCCGATGCAGTTCCACTACACGAAGGTGAGGACTCTGGGGGAAAGGGCATCGGTATCTGTAGTAGGCAGAGTGCCTGGTCAGTCTTCCCATGGCAGGATTTGAGTGGAGGGGCCAAGTCTGCTTTGTGGTGGGGCTAGTGGCCCAGTGAGACAAGACAGAAGTCACTGGTAAAGGAGTATTCTTCCCAGGAACCCTCTCTTTGGGGTCCTTAGACCCTAGAAAGCTCACTTTCACTTCTTTGCCTTCTCTATTTGACACTAGGTTTGTGACTTTAGTGAAATTACTTGAACTCTGAGTCTTTCTCCTTCTCCTCTGTACCATGAGGATAAAATTGTCTGTCTCTACTCTTACCTTATTGTGAGGATTCATCAAGATAACAAATCAAATGGTCTAATATAATGTCTGCATATATTAAAAATGTTACCTACTGTTTTGTGGGTTTTGGTGTTTTGTTTTTTTTTTTTACTAATACTACTCTTTTTTAAAAAAAACCACTAATACTTTGTTACTGGTGGTGTTATGTTTATTACACATTGAGTCTCTGGTGGAAGAGGTAGGGAAAGCTGATGCCGTGCATGGGACCAGCCAGCCATAAGTATGTATGTAGCACATTTTGATGGTTGGTGATAAGGTCACTGAAAAAAACAAAAGAGCCAATACCTTTATGAGGACAGTAATTCTCAGACATTTTGACCTTAGGATTCCTTTATAGTCTTAAAAATGAAAATCTTCTAAGAATTCTTATCAACGAGATGGCCAGACTGAAACAAAGGGCTTAAGCAAGAGGAGGCTGGGACAGTGATGCAGAACCGGACGGCAGTCTCTTCTGTTGTATGAGTCTCTACGAGTTGGAGCTGACTCAACGGCACATGACGTATCTATTGATAGTCACTGTGTTAAAAGCGAACTGAGGAATTTAAAAAATATCGATTCCATTTAAAAATTAATAAAACAATTAAGTGTTAATGTAACTGGGAATTTTTTATTAAAATAATTTTCTTTTTTAAAATAAGAAAAATAATACAATTAGCAGGAAGAATGACATTGTTTTACATTTTTGCAAATCTAATGTCTGATTTAATAGATGGATAGATTTTTGTTTCTGTTTCTGCATTCAATCTGTTGTGACAGATTTTCATCAAAGAAAGTGGAGGAAACCCAGCATTACACACATCTTCTTTGGGAGCTTGAATTCACAGCTGGCTCCTCAGGAGAAAGAAGGCTGGTCTCCTCCTGTGTAGTTTACAGCCTCAGACACCTGCTGGGGGTCAGCTAGGAGTCTGTTCTGACTTGATAGGAATGAGTTGAGTTTTTGCATTATAGTAGGAAATATCATGGAGACCCTGAGGCATCCTTGGATCATGCTCCGGGAACCACTGTTCTCAGGTCTAGGAAGTGGTGATGGAAGGGCTGGTGATTAAAAAATCTAAGTCCACATCCCAGAAGATAAAGCATGGCCACATGACTGATATTATGAACAATTCTCGTAGGTTTTCAAATGCTCCATTTCTGCCTTTGGTAGTTTGTTCATATTAACTCTTACATGTGGACAGTCTTAAAGAAAATGGTGTGTCAAATAAAAAGCAAAGATACAGAGTAAGTACTAAATACGCACGTGATACATCAGAGAGGGCAGAGACTGGCGTCTTCAGTGGCCAGCTCAGGGCTTCCAACATTACAGGCACTCACGGCAGGCCAAGAGACAAATGTATGGCATTCTTTCTTACCTCTTTCTGGGAGCTGGAGATTTCACTCAGAAGATGTTGTTGTGCGCTATTAAATAGACTCCAATTTGGGGGCTTGGTTTTTGCTTGACTGCTTGTTGGAGGGTTGGGTGAATTGGTTCCAACTCGACGGTATATAACAATATTCAGGATATCAGGTATTGAAGGAAGAGGTGTCAGATATTGCTTGCTAGATATTTGATGTTCTTTAGCTTTGGAAATGTGTTTAGGACAGAGATGAATATTCTGACATCTAATAAATTTATTTTCTGGGGACGGATCTAGGAAGCACTGATGGAAGAATATGCAATTGCAGCCCAGGTGTGGAAACTGAGCACGTGTGACCTGTGTGAAATTGCCAGGAACAGCGTGCTGCAGAGTGGCCTCTCCCATCAGGTATGGTGTCCCCTCGGTCCCTCTCACCCTTCCACTGCGTGCCAGTCACTGACAGTAAGCCATAAACCAAACATACACTCTGTTGTAATGAAACTCAGGTTCTAGGAGAGAATCCTTGGAAGCCTCCTGCATTTGCATGGTGAGCCCATAGCTTTCTCAGATCTCTATTCAGTGTCACCTCCTTGCTCCTTATGTCTAATCTAAAAAAGCTACATTCTTTGCCTCCTTCTCTAGACCCTCAATCTGTTTCTATTACAAATAACACTGTGTTATTTAGGGCTGAGATTGTCTTGTTTAGTATTATATCCTCAGGATCTGGAACAGAATAGTCGTTGGCAATGGTAGGTACTTGGTATTTCTTGGGTATTTATGATATTCAGTATTCTACTAGCTGAATGGTTCCTAGATAGAATAAACTCTAGGGAGGAGACCTGGGCATCGGCAATTTTTTTAAGGTCCCTAGGTGTTAATGGATCAGATTATGCCCTATCAGATGTGCCTGTAGTTAGAATTCCATCTGAGAATGGCTTGTCTTTGCCATTAATGCAGCAGAGTTAGTGTAGGGTTTTTCTTGAGTCAGTCTCTTCTGAGAAATAAAACAGGCGAACCAGCAAGCATAGGGGATAACACAGGAGATCTCCAAGCAACTGGGAAGCAGAAGCTGGAGAGGTAAGGCCCTTCCTCCTGAGCTCACAGAGGGAAAGCTTTCCCCTTAAGCTACTCCTCTGAGTTTGGACTTCTGGCCTCCTAAACTGTAAAAAACGAATTGGTTTGTTCAAGTCACCCTTGGAAGCAGGAGTGGCATCCACTTCCAAAACAGCATGCCTTTGGAAACTATGAACTTTGATAAATGACGATATAGAAAGGCTTCAGACCTTTTGTTCATAGGGTTGCTATGAGTAGTGCTCAACTTGACGGCAATCAACAACAACAACAACAACAACACACAAAGCCATCCACTTGTGGGATTTTTGTTACACAACATTGGATACCCAAGACATTAGATGATCCCACTGTGGAGCTCCAGTTGGGAACTATTACTTTAGAATGGTACCTGAGGTTCCTGGGAACCTCCCCTGGGGGACATGACTGACACAGAAAGATGGCTTCAGGTGACAGTCTTATTGGATGATGATGGAAAGAAGGGTTAAATGGTCAAGGTTCTTTTTGTGAAGATGTGTTTCCTTGGCGTGGCCCTTCCAGAAACTTGAGAGTTTTATCTTAATGTTAACGTTAACATGATTCTTAAAATCCACCTTTCCTTTTCATACCGAGCAACTCTTGCCATCTTTCCCTTCTCATCAAAGAAAGCAGGCAGGGATGACTGAGGTTGTCAGGGAACCATGAAGGACAGGGGAGTTTAGTAAGAACCTTACGGGGAAAGAGATTCTAAGTGAGCATGTTGTTGTACCACCGAGTCTGAACCGACCGTAGCTGAGCCTCTGGTGGGTGTTCAGAGGCAGTGAATTACATGGGAGGAGATTTCCCATCCTTCTCCCACAGAACAGCAGGTGGATTCGAGCTGCATGCCTTCAGGATTGTAGTGTAACTTCTTGCCACAAGGCCACCAGAGCTCCCTAAGTGAGCATATGGCTCAGGAAACTAGTCTTGGTTTTCGATTGCTAGTGTTAAAGTGGCCTGTGTGGGTTTAGAAAAGGATTTGAAAGCATACCATTTCATTTCATGTTTTTATTGGTTCACAGGAAAAACAGAAGTTCCTGGGACAAAATTATTATAAAGAAGGACCTGAAGGAAATGACATTCGAAAGACAAATGTTGCTCAGATCCGAATGGCATTCCGATACGAGACCTTATGCAATGAGCTCAGCTTCCTGTCTGATGCCATGAAATCAGAAGAGATCACAGCGTTGACCAAATAGGTCTATTACTGGACATGCATTTTAAATTTTTAGGTTTAAATTCCTGTCTACTGTGACTGAAAGATACTAAACGAGGGCTTTTCTTCCACGGAGAGGCGGCCTCTGAAGAACTTTGAGACTGGTGGTTTTTGGTTGCACTGCTCACTTTCAGATCTCACATGCCCACTTGTGTTAATATTTCAGAGTAATAGATGATGCCGCCTCTTTGGAGTTCAGGGAGCTGGGCATGTGTCTGAACTTGTTTCTACTTTTTCAAATATTTCTTTTGAAACCACCAGTGCTTCTATTGCTGGGGCCAGGAGTTTCCAGTCAAATGCCACGTGTCAAGAGGACTGGCTGGTTTGGGGCTGTACTCCTCTGTAGACCCTGCAGGCCAGCTGGTAGTTGTTCATTTCAGCCTCTGGCTATCTGGCTGCCTTAAAATCCATTTTAAAGCTCCCTTTTATAAAGGGGCTATTTTGGGGGAAAAAAAAAAAGAAATTAAAACAGAAAATGTCCTTCTTAAAATTTTTTTTGTTTTTTTTTAAAAAAAGAATTTCTTCAAGTGTTTGGTTTATGCCCTATTTCTATTAGGAAGCCAAATATCTTCTCATGGAAAAAGTGAAGGTGTGGCCTGGATGAGTGGTTTTCAAACGGTATTCTGTGAATCCCTCTTCTGGAGGGATCGCTTCAGCATTGAGGAGGGAAGGTGCGAATGATTTGTGGGTGCTGCATTTCTCCAAAATGACTTTGTTTCATCACTTTTGCACTGGGGTTTCTAGAGATCATCTTCTTTGAACAAAGGACTCCTGGGGGAAGTCTTAAAAACACAGCACCAGATGATCTCTAAGAGTTCAGGCAGTGCCAAGGTTAAGGGTTCTCAACCGTTAACAGAACAGTCGGAGGTTGGACGCCACCAGTCGGCCGCTGTGTTGGAGAAAAGACCTAATGTGCTCTGCTAGATTTGTAGCTTAGAAAACCTTCTGGACCAGCTTTTCTCTGTACTGTGTGGTTGCCATGAGCTAGAGTTGACTCAGTTAACTAGACATCACGTAATACAACAGATGGCCATTGCTACTCTGCTCTACTGTTCTTTCCCATTTTACCGATTAATTAAGGCCAGAGAAGGGAAAATTCTTAGTGATAGTTAATAAGTAAGAAGGCTGGATCTAGTTTTTCTTTCTTCTAATCTAGTCATCTTCCTCCATTAGGCCTCACAAATGTTAATTTTTTTTTAATTGTTGCAACCTGGCACATTTTTCTTTTTTTAAAAGACAAACTTTCCCCCTTCCCTAACATATAGATTTTTTTTTTCAGATGATACATAGGGGTCCCTGGGCCCAGGAGAGAAGTATTTTTTAAGGCCAAGAGAAATTTAAGCTTTACCAGTGTATTAATCATCTGTGTTACTAGTGCCTGGCACACAGTAGGTGCTCAATAAATGTGGAATTAATTTCTTTTAGCCACTTTTAAAGTATATGTACTCCTCAAAGTATGTATTCAATAAGCTGCTTATGAACCTCCCTGCCTATTTCTGTAGGCTAATGTAGCCTATGGGAAGTTGTTTTTAGTCATTTTAAAGTTAAAAGAACCCATTTTTTGTGTGAGTGTGAAAATGCTTACTTGAATTTAGATTGTCTTGTCCTATAACCTTATGCTTGTCCTGTACATTGGTCAACTTAGCATAATGAATTTATAGTCTTTTTATTAGGTAAACATATCTGCTATCTTACAATTATGAGACCGAATGCAAACCAAGCATTTATCTTAGAAATTCATCATTTTTAAAAAGCTCTCATTTGTATACATTTGCCCTAATACAGCAAGTATACAGTTTGTCATTGTCAGTTTTCTGTATTAAAAATTTTTTTTAAATCATAAAATAAACTTTGTCAAAACAATGCTTCAATAAAAAACTATTTCAATATTACTTAAGTGTTTGTGTTTTACTTTCATATTGGGAATCATGAAAGTTATCAACAACTATTGCTAATTTATCTTTTACAAAGATTCAGGCATGCATGAGTCACTAGAAAAATGCAGACTTTTCAAAGAGAGCTCTCTGGTGGTGCAGAGTTGTGCTGTTAACCAAACCTATTTTCAAACTAAAGCTTCCTAGAACCAGAAGTAAAGTTTGCTTTTGCTTTATAACTTAATTAAAAAACCCTGTTTTAGAGACTCAGCTGTGCTTGACCCAAGCCAGGGTATTTTCAGTTGCTTCTTCCTATGCATTTGAAAGTTGGACAATGAATAAGGAAGATCAAAGAATTTATGCCTTTTTTTTTTTAAAAAAAAAAGTTTAACTGATGCCTATGAATTGTGGTGTTGGTGAAGAGTAGTGAATATCCCATGGACTGTCAAAAAAACAAACATGTTCAGAAAAAGTGAAATCAGGATGCTTTTCAGAGGCAAAGGTGGTGAAACGTCATCTCATATACTTCAGCCATGTTGTCAGGAGGGCCCAAGCCTTGGAAAATGAGATTATGATGGGGAAGAGAGGAAGACCCTCACCAAAATGGATTGACGGGGGTCACTCAACTACGACCATGAAGATGGTGCACAGCAGGCAAGGGTCAGCTCTCCTGTTCATGAGCTGTCGCTGACCTGACAGCATTTAACTGCCACCCTGATACAGAAATCAAGCAAAGTCCACATGATCATTTTCCTGTTCCTGGACATTTCAGTCTGCCTAGCCAACATTTGTTAGATTTTACGTTGAGTAGCTAGCGTCTCTTCCATTATTGATATGGCCAGCAAAAGAGAAGTGGCCCTTCTCTAGATGACACAATGACAACAACAGTGGGCTTGAGCGTGGGGTGCATGGTTAGGAAGACACAGGACAGGGCAGTTCCCATCTGTTGTTCAACTTTAAGTCATAGTTGACTGAGCTTCTCAGACATCCTTTCTATAGCACTTTGTAGTTAGATGATGTCACTATACATAACTGACATTTTGAGAGTGAATGCCTACTTTCACTTGTGTTTGCATTTAGAATCAAAGGCAATTACATACACCAAAGAAAATGTTATTTTTAAAAGATTTTTATTGAGATTTTGGTTTGGGGTCTTTTTTTTTTCCTTATAAACAGATTTCTCCTTCCTTCACTCATACGGTTGTTTCATTTTTTTTTAAATTAATTTTAAAATTGTGATACTGAACAAGGCTTCTCATTTAACATTATGTTTTGTGATTCTGATTATAATCATACTAGAACTCAGAAATGCAGGAAGTGAAGAGAGGTAACAGTATTCTCTTCACTTCTTCCCTGTGCTTCCAGTTTGTATTTCCCTTTCCAATTACTTCCTGCTTTCTGGTCTTTATCCCTGAATAGATCCTGCCCTTTTGATTTAGTATGGTTGTTTGGTCTGAGTTCATTTTGCCCTGAGTTACTGATCATCTTACAGGGCTGTCTACTGTTTAGCTTCGCGTAAGTACAATCAAATGTTCTGGGATTTCCATTCTCCCCAAGGTTAACCACAATTTGTTGTGATGAACATAGTCAAATGCCTTTGCATAGTAAATGAAACACAGATGGATATCCCTCTGGTACTCTTTGCTTTCTGCTAAGATCCATTTGACATTGGCAGTGATGTCTTTCTCTAGTGCCATGGCCTCTTCTAAAACACAGCTTGTATTCCTGGTAGTTCTCAGTCACTTTTTGATAATCTAAAGGAGGATTTTTGCTTGTGTGTGATATGAGGGCTGTTGTACGATAATTTCCACACTGTCAGAACCTATACTTGGACCAGGAAATAGTCCTCGAAACAGAGCAGAGAAACACTGCATGGTTCAAAATTGGCAAAGGATTGTGTCAGGGATGTGTCCTGTCTCCCTATCTTTTCAATCTATATGCAGAACAGATCATTTGGGAGGCTGGGCTTTATGAGGAAGAATGTGGCATCAGGATTGGAAGACGATTCGCCAACAATCTACATTACTCAGATGATACAACCTTGCTTGCTGAAATTGAGGAGGACCTGAAGCGCTTGCTGCAGGTCAAGGACTGTAGTCTTCGATATGGATTGAAGCTCAATATCAAGAAGACAAAGATTCTCACCAGTGGGCCAACTAGCAGAACCATGATGGATGGAGAAAAGATTGAGGTTAACTAACAGTTAACAGCTTGCTTGGCTCCACAATCAGTATTCTTGGCATCAGCAGTCAGGAAATCAAGACAAATTGCATTAGGTTAATCTGTCAGGGATCAGGGACCTTTTCCAGAGTACTGAGAAGCAATGATGTCAGTCTAGAGACTAAGGTGCACCTGACAGAAGAAGAATTGATGCCTTTGAGTTGTGGTGCTGGAGAAGAGTATTGAACAAACCATGGATCGCCAAGAAAACAAATAGGTCTGACCTGGAGAGGGTGAAATCAACTTTCTCCTTGGAGGGTAGGATTTTGAAGCCCAGCAGGGGCTGGTCCTTGGAGAAGGACATCATGCTCAGAAGGGTGGAGGGACAGCGTAGGAGAGGAAGACCCTAAGAGAGATGGATTAATACAGTGATTAGGGCAATGGGAGTAGGTATGCTGGAGTCAGTGAGACTGGCTCAAGACAGGACAGGCTTCAGAGCTATTCTACATAGGGTCTCTAAGTCACGAGTGACTTTCGATGGCACTTATTAAGCTGGAAGTTGAGTCATGGTTATTTCAGTTCCAATTTGAGGGTGACTAAGGGCCACAGTCTCAGAGGTTCCATTAGTCTCTAACAGATGAGTAAACCTAGTTCTTTTCATGATCTTGAGTTTTGATCTACATTTTTCTCCTGTTCTATTAGGAACTTTCTATTGTGATTCAGAGAGGCCAGCAGTAATAGCTGGGCACAATTAAGTTCTTCTGGTCTCAGAGTCATGAAGGCTGAAGTTTACATGATCTGTTAGTCCTTTAGACTGATAGTCTTTTGTTTTCTTCTCTAATGCTCTAAGCTGATAGCTATACTTTAGATGGCTGCTGGCAAGCTTTTACAACCCATCACAATTCAGCAAACTTGGATGTAGAACATTATCTTTATAGGATTATGTTATGCCATTTGGCTTTCATGTATCCAAGACTATGGTCCTAAGCTCTTCAACGGGATAAAGACAGGGAGCTCTGGTGGCCTAGTGGTGAGAAGCTGCACTGCAATCCTGAACTAATGCAGCTCAAATCCACTAGACGCTCTGCTGGAGAAGGAGGGACAATCACCTCCTGTGCCAGTTTGATTGGATCTGATTTGATGGTATACAACAAAAAAAATAGGGTAAAGATAATAAAAACTAATGAAAGTCTGTTACCATCTATCTATTCATAGTGTCATTTTATTGCCAATTATAAATGTGAATAGTTAGCTCATTTCCTTGTCTCTAAGTATGGGGGTAGAGAGGGCGGAAAGTAAAATGGAAATGCTTTTTTTAAAAAAAATATACCTGAAATATTTTCTTTTTACATCTTTTTAAAAATTAATTTTAATGAGTTTACAGAAACTTTGGATTTCCATTGTTGCACTTTTCTCCCTGTCCAACCTGCCCCCCAATTCACTCTTCTCTTTCTTTTTTTAAAAACTATTAATTTTAATGAAAGTTTACAGAGACTTTGGATTTCCATTCATT